GCACTGATTTCAGTACAATTATTTAAGTATTTTTGACTTGTTCTAGAAAATATTGAATGACATTAAGGTAGGGCTTATCTCAGCAATGTATCTTTCAATATCAATCCCTGATGAGTACTGGGTAGTATTGAAATTTAAAATTTCAAATCTTTTCAACTTTGCCTTGTAGCTTATCACCCAACACCAAATCAGATCAAGAGAAAGGCTCCACCGGGTGAGTTGAAATCTGAAGGTGAGCCGTGTAGTCCTGACTGCTATCTTCACCTTGTACATGTAAGTATACTTCACTATTTAAAATTTGTTACTGTGGCCGCAAATTGGCTTCAAGCAATGTTGCTTTAGGAAGCCAGTAGGCTATCAGATTTGTGGCAACATTGCTTGCAATATAATACAGCTGTATTCTCAGCCATTATGCTAGTATATTAGTATCATGTGGATAAAATACATGATATCTAGACAAAATAATCAATTACCACCTATTTCATAGGAAAATTAGCCATCATGCTTGTGAATACTGTAAACCACTATAATTTAGTGTAACAAATTTTTGCGTATCAGTGGAAATCAGATATTTTTTTTCTGGTGTCTTATAATATGCATGTAAAAATGTCTTAAAATCCTGAAATTGTGAACATTTGTGGATGTGAAATAAATGATTTACAATATTCCTCGGGAGAAACAGTACCACAACAATAATTTTGTATTAGTATTACAAAGATTAAAAATATGAAAAATTAGTCAAAAAATGCAGGTGATGCTGCTTTAACAAAATATCATAAGCATGGAATGTTATTTTAAATTTTTTCTTTCCTGTGTTTTTAAGTAACATCATTGCTGCAGTAAATTTCTTTTTAAATTTGCTTTAAATTACTTTTTAACTTTCAGAAGCAAGATCAGGATGATTGCAGTACTACTAGTTCTATTCACAGCGAGAGAGGGAAGAACTCTCCAGCACGAGGTAGCAAACGTAGGGGTAGACCTTGCACACAAACAGTACATACTAAAATAGAGAAAACTGAAATAGATGGTGACTTGGTGCTACCTGAAAGGTGTAATAGCGCTGACCAGAAATGCCAAGGTTTGCTTTTTTCTGTAATTCTCAGCATGAGGGGTGAAAGCAGCTCTGTAAAATGTCTTGTTCTTGAGCATGTCATTTTGGCTAATTTGGCTAACCACTATACCCACTACCGGTACTGTAAAAAAAAAAAATTAGCTGGAATTAAATTTCACTGAAAAGACTTTTTGTGTGTTTTGTATGGAATTTATTTTAACTGATTTTAAATGTAAAATGT